GTATTTATATTTGCAGAATGTCTGGAAAGATATTGCACTGATTGATTAAAATTTGTTGAAAAATTCAAGATAAGTAAGTGTCAGGATTCAGTCATTATCATAGATGATAACAGCTCTGTTGACTTCACTTGACATCCCCCATCAGAGTATGTGACCTGGTGTCTGCTATCCAGTTTAGGCACGCAAAACTTGCAGCACAACTCCCACCCCTGCCCTCTCTCTCCCTACCAGGCCTCCCATCCACCCCGCAAAGGTGTTCCCTAGTCCATAAGACGACACAAGAAGTTAGAAATGGCTGTCTTATATGGCCTTTTACAAAGGCAGCCCGGTGCTTAGGGTAATGTGTCTAATGTTGAGGCACAAGTGTTTTCAGTGCACCTGTTGGTAGCTGTCATCAGATAACCAGACTAACCAAATGTGTTCCCCGAAGACCCCACTGTTCGGTTGGCGCGTGCCATAAATGGTCGGACATTTGCTGTTTTCCTTGTTCCAGTGGAATCATGCCGCTGATTTTGTACCACCTTTTGGTAAGATTTGTGATATCCGCGAAATTTTGAGGGATTGAAAAAGCTGGGTGCTTTGTGTGCATGTGCAGTTGAGAGTTGGTGCATGCATATCTTGTGTTCATATAGAAGGTTGTATCTATTTGAGAGTGTACATTATGGTGTTCATCACTGTGCGATCAGTTGAAGGCATAGTAACTCCCATGTTGTATCATGCACAGGTGAGTCTTTTCAGGTTTTTATTGCATGATGTAGCTGTTTTCTAGCTATAGCTTTACCAAATGTTTGTTGTGCTGACCATGTTTACAAATGTTACAAATATCTCAGATAAAAATGTGTGAATGGGATGTGTAAAATGTTGTTGCAGCTCACTAACTGTGATCAATTTCTTCTGTATTCTCTTGTTGCTGTTTGTCAATTTTGTTTTCTTGCAGTTGTGTTTTTCTCACTCTGTAGATGTTAACATCAATTCTTATTTTTCAACCCGTCATAATGCTTCCTGGTCCATCTTTTATTATCTCATATTCCAATATACTGTTATGCTATGCTCTAAAGTACATGCAGGTTAATTTTATCAATTTCATTGGTATGAGATACAGAAAACCTGAACCAGTATAGTTAAGGACATTTATAACCTACAGTACTGTCTTAAGAAATGGATTGACCTTTTACTGATTGTATCTTAGAAATAGAGCATAGCCTGACCCAGGATTGATTGTGTCCATATTGTTAAGTACTTCCAAAATAGGATTTGGGAAATTGGGTTTTCTGGCCAATAATGTTTGAGCCCATAAAATGAGATTGGTACATGTCGATAGCCTTATACATATATGTACAATATCTACAGTACATGACAAGTCATTGTTGCAAATATGGTGCTAGGTTTACTTCATTCTTTAACATGAAATCTGAGTGTGATTGTGCCTTATATATTCACTACAGATTTGCATGATGGCATGTAGATACATTAATATTATGTGCCTTGACCCTTGCTAAAACCTCTCTTTCAGCTTGAGTGGTAATGGTTTTACAATAGTGGTAATTAATTGCTTAATAGATGAGTCAATCTGTTTGGACTCCAGTTGAGTGGTTATCAGCAATTGATTGGCTAAGTGATCAATATCGTATGTTATCCTTATCCAGTTTACCATGGAACGAACATGTCCATTTCATCCTAGTCATGTGATGTTATCTCCTGGAAGTCTTGGACTGTTCCATTTCAGAGTCTTAGAGGGGAGTAGAAAATTTTTGTGATAAAGTCACAGGGCAGATATCTTATGTATCTCAGATTTTGGCATGACTTCAACTGATATGTATTTACTAGTACCAGAGAAGCTAGCCAGAAAGTGTTAGAAAGGAAAAATTACACCACTGAATTAGAGGACCCATAAAATCTGGTAGACAGGTGTTCACAATAGACAGGCTTGTATCAATTGGAATTGGGAAAAAATTAAATTATTTAAGGGACCACCAAAAAAATGGTCACATTGGCCATGTAGTAGGTGGTCACTTGAACAGGTTTAACTGTCTACCCAATTTGACAATTGCTACAATAGGTAGTCTATGCAACCCAGAAAGAAGTCTGATGCCACCTAGCCCTAGCCTAATCTTCACACTCCCCCTGAAACTTGCCACAGTCATTGATTTTCTCCAGATTGATATGATAGCTCCTGGTTATGGCCACTTTGCCACCCAAGCAGTAAAACTGCTACAAGATCAGGCTGTCTCTCCTGGAGTAGGTATTACTCTCCCAGTAATCTCCAAGGAGGAGGAAGAAATAAGATGTTGCACCTAGAAGGGTGTAAAACTAATGTGCCATACCATAGGTCCAGTTTTAGTCTTATTCATTTGCACAATGTGTCAAGTATAACATATTGCCAAACAGCAGTTTTTGACCCGTCTTCCCCATGCTTAATCTGCTGTTGTAAATGTACATGTATATACACAGTAACTACTTTGGGGAATTGTAGCGCAAGATTGCTCTTTCTACTGAAGGGAGTGATTGCAGTTTTGATTGGGGTCCCAAGGGGGTGCTTCTGCAATGTTTTACTGGCTTCACATGAACTTGACATTGATACCCAAGGACATAGGGGTGATTCAGATCTAGTAGATGAAAGTTCCCCATCTAGACCCTTCAAAAGGACAGGTAAAAGATGTACAAAGGTGTTAAATTGCATTTGGAAATTTTCATCTTGCTAGAATCATGACTATGTAATAATGTTTATGATAACGGCTTTTAATCCAGAACTTACAGCTTGCACTTATCAATCATTAGGCTTTTAGAGAAATTGCAAGCTGCGGCAGAATTTGCTGTGATAACTTGTTTTGCTGATAGTGTAAGCTGCGCACATTTCATTATGCTGTCCCACTGGGACAGAGTCAGGGGTAGTATTTTGCCAGTGCATATGGCGCTAATGCAATTTCTACAGTAATTCAGTTGTGTTTAGTATTCATATGTTGCAGAGAAATAGGCTGGGAATAGAGTTTGTAATGTCATTTCTGGTGAATACCCTCCCATACTTGAACATTCTGGCATTGTATGTACATTATGTGGTCTATGCTACTTACACTTTTGACAATGAGAACCTTTTTCCGTAACATAGCTGAAATGTAAGCCTTGCCGTATTGAGTAATGTCTTCACATTTTGTGATGTGGCTATTACATTTCGTCCTTTCTTTCTGATTATAATACATATTTGATGTATTGAACCACATTTGGTTTTATCATGGGAAATAGCTACCAATTTTTTGGTTTTAGATTTAAATTTGAAGTGTGCCCGTTGATATATTAACATATCTTCAATTCCTATACTTATATCCCATATCGACCATGTGATAAAGATGATAGCTTTCCTATAATTATTGTAACATGACCAAATTGTGGAGATGAATTTCCAAATCTCTTATGGAAAGTTGTTTGTGAAAGATTGTTATAGATCAAATTTATTGTCTGTAATTTCTGCCTAGAAATTGGACCTTATATTGATTGTTGTAGAAAGCTGAGTTCAAGGCCTGCATGTAAAATATATACACACTTCCTATCCACCCTTTCAGGATAAAGCTATATTATCTAAAACCTACGGAAACACAAGCAAACATTCAGACAGACACACCAAAAACAAAACCTCTTTTCGTGGAGGTAATAAAGTATGTTATCCTCAACCATATCAGGTGTCAAGTTAAATGGATGTACCCGCAAATCATTTAAAATGTCAAACTCACTTGTTAGTGCACTGTGACATTTTCTTTGGTCTATGAAATTTGTGAATGTGACATGCTGTGTCTGAGAGTGAGAATTCAATTCTGGGAATCAAAAAAGCAGGCAATCAGACAGACTATCTTATAAAATTGGTCATTTTGATGCAATGTTGCTAGTATCATGTATAATAGTTGCTGAGTATTGCTTGCACAATACTATAGTATATGTCTGTCATGGACAAGATTTTACTGGTATTATAATACTGTACATTGTGTTGGGCATGCACAGGTTGGTGGTACAACTATCCTTCTGACACTAAGTAATAGGCAAAATGCTTATTTTGAAGTGTTAGGAAACAGTAAACTGACATCAGCTGGCCCAATCCCACCTGTTACAACCTTTGACAGAGGGTGTGCATGGGGTTTTACTGAAGCTAGAATCCCCTAGGTATAATGTTATCGCCACTCCTCATAGAATTTGTTGAAATCCTAGAAAAGAAGCTTATCAAGGCTGTATTATTTCTGCAAAAGCTGGATTGAATTGCTTCACAAAATCCCCAAACACGTTGAAATCTGTTTGCAAACAGGGATCACAAACTCCCCTCCATATCCTCTGAATAGGTGCACAAATCCATGACAATGTGGGCACAGGGCTGGCCCTGAATTTATACATGGCCGCATGTGTGGGGAATGAAAATGCCACAATAGATGCTGCGAGCCATCGATCGATACAGCACTGGGAGAGGACTAGCTGATATGGTATACCCACAATTAAGGATATTAACCATGCGTACTGTTGCCTGTATATCCATTTCATAAACGTACTGTTTTGTCAATACAATGTATTGATCTGACAACATCTGTGATATGGTATCTGGCTGTATTGTCAATCTTTCAGATTTCAGGAATTAAATGGTTTGTTAATGGTCTGTTGCAGGTTTCACATCTGAAGCAGATATGTTGCAATTGCCTGTGTATATTTTGTAATTCTGTCTGTTGCAGCATAATGTCCTTGGTTGTACATATATTGTGTATACTGTCATATTAAAGGTCTCTGTGTACACCATATCAATTCTAATTGAATTTCTATGTATTGATATTGTATTACAACTGTTACCTTGAGAATACCCTTATTTTGTTAGCACAAGGGCAAAATAAGAATGATGTTAATGTAGTTAGTCTGCGAGACAGTCTTTTTCCACCATGGTAAGGTACGTTACATATTGCAGTGCAATGGAACCGAAGGTTATTGTTGTTTACGGTCTCTAACCAGTGTTTGTTTGTCTTGTTGTCCTGCAGGAGCGGAAATGGCAGGAGTTGCAGCGGGTCCCGACGCGGCCGCGGCCGAAGTCTGGGGAATACCGGCTGAACACGCTGGACATCCAGACCAACCAGCCCAACCAACCCCTCCCCACACCGGAAGAGGCTCTCCGCAAAAACGCTGTCCCTTCCGCTGTCGTTCCCGTAGATGTATCGGGGTCCGTGTTTGACCGCATGTCCAGGTAAGGTGCTAGACTTTATCATGTAAAGAGAGTTACGAATCTGACTTATATAATACTATCCATACTATAATACTATATAGATCCGCTGTATAACCATAACCATATAACTGTCATTACATCAGTTGTTTTGGATAAGCAGCCTTATTAAAGGGTGGCAGACAGACTTGGGATCTATGACAAATGAACACACCTTTTCCAAATTCCTAGCCTGCTACATTCTTGTGATTTGTAGATGCCTTGGTTAGATAATGGGTTCCAATATCAAAGCTAGATAGATTATTTACCACACTCCGTGGTCCAATTTAAGGACTCCATTGTTCCATCTATCGATTTTGTTCAGATTGTATCCCATTGAAGTCTAAAAGTTATCACCAGAAAGAAAGGCTAAAATAGCATTGTATATACACAAAACACATTATTGGTATATTACAAAACACTATGAATATATAACAATTATACTGGCAAATGATGGGACACAAAGAATTGTAGACAAATTACCGGTGTATGGTAGACAAAATTGTAATAGTTCAGAGATGCAAAGGTTTATGTAATATGTAATTCAGCAGCAATATTATGCATGTTAGGAAACAAAATCCATCAAGCTAGCAGAATCCTATTTCTTGAATACACAAACAGGGTAGATGACTGAAAAAATAATTCTTCAAGTCACTCCAAGTGATTGAAATTTGCAGACGATTTTATCTTTTTAAAAATGCAACAGCACTCTAATACTAGTCAAATAATTTATCTTTGCAAAAATGCAACAGCATTCCAATCATTTGTCAAGAATAGAGGGTGCTGCCCTTGTCTCCTAGCTAATTACTCTTTCAATGATTATGCATCAACAGCTCATTCTGGCAGAAAATGGAGGCCATTGTTATCCAATCCAACCTTAATTGCATTCCGAGACATTAAAAATCAGTGAAAACATACTGCACTAGAAAAGCGATAATTGCATGGCCATGTAGGAAGTGTCCGTGACATTGTACAGTGACGGATGCTTCCTATGGTTTTCAATTTTCTTCATTTTGGCCGTCTTTTGTTCCGTGACAAATTTATTGGCTTGGTGAGCAGAAAGCAAGTCGGAGGCCGTTTGGAACAAGGATGGCTATCGATTTCCGGCCAGTGATTGAAAGGCCCTGACAAAGATGAAATGAACAATAATTGTTTTTAGGAGAGATTACCGGATCACAGGGAAGAAGATGTAGAGCCCTGTTATAGCTGTTTTGAAATTATTGCATTGCTATTGCAGTTGCCACTCACTTGTCCATGATTGATGTGGTGATGCAAATTCAACAAACATCTCTGCGTTGATGTCAACATTTCACCATGCAAAACAGACAATTTTGTGTTCAGTCCACCTCCGTGTTGATTTGATGTTGTGTACAGAATACTAACGACAGTAATACAGGAATGTTGAACAGATTACATTCCCCGGGCTCAACCCGAAGTAATGCTTTGCTGTAAAGATAATGAGTGTTGTAGGCTCATCATCTGTGTCCAGGTTCAGAATTACATTCTCTCCTTTCCTGCAGGTATCGCCGGTCGCTGATTCACCAGACCAGTCCGGAGACTCGGAGGCGGAAGAAGAAGCGCAGCAGCAGTGAGCGGAGACGACGGAGGCAGACCGTCACGGGCGTGCCCGAGAATATCAAGAAAGAGCTGAGTCTGGTCAGGCAGAAGAGCCAGCGCAGCAACCGGTCCATGTATCTCAACGATACCATCTCCTCCATGGATGAGACGGGCACAGAGATCCCCAGCTCGCCCGAGCGAAGAAACCGAAGTCTGGAACGGGATTCGCATCACCGTTCTCGCAGGAGGACGCGATCAAATCGGTCCAAGACGATCGCACAGATTCATCTCCCACCCGAGCTGCTAAAAGTGCCTCAAGTCGACGAGATGACGCAAACAGATACAGGAGAGGGTGTACAGCCCGGGACAAAACCCTCGCAGAGGGATATACAAACAGCCACGGAGAACGGAGAGTCCTCGGCGGAAAGTTCATTTGCTTCTTCGCCACTCTCCGCAACCCAGCGTCCAAACGGTGGCATACCACCGCTCAAGGCTGATAACACTGTTCTGAGGAAGAGCCAGCCGTGGGTTGCTTCATCGGCCACGCGTCCTCGCTCCCTGGAGATCGAACCCACAGAGCTGAAACAAGTAGAAGTCAGCACAAACATCCCTGGTGTCAGCAGCTCACAGCTATCGAATGCTGCCCTCACTATGTCAGCCACAACCGTCTCCATCCACAACAAGAATACAGAGCAAGTTTACCTGTCAGACAGCAGTACACTTACTCCGTCCCCCATCTTTGGTTCGCCCATTGCCCATGCCGTGGTTCAGATGAGGAACAGAAAGAATGAGCAGACAAAGGAGGAAAACCGCTCGTCGTCTGGTAACTGGAGCGGTACGAGCAGTGCGCGCCACTCAATGACTTCCGACACGATCCTCCGCGGACAACACGAGATCCAAGTGCCTGTCGAAATCCACAACACCACAACATTCAAAGACTCACAAACCGGTAAATCCAACCTACAGAACTGTCACTCTGCCAGTGACTCAGCTCTCTCTGTTAACGATCACCACGAGACTGACTCCCTCTCGTCTGCCATGTTCGGAGATGAGAGCAGACAAACGACAAGCTACAACACGGACACCCTGAGCTCTCAGGGCACCCTTAGAGACTTCTCTGATAGTACCCTGCAGAATCAGTCCGGTTATTCAAGTTCAACAACAACCAGGTCGGTCATAACGCCATCACAGGAGGTTCAAGCAGACTTTACTGCCATGGATTCTGAGTCTTGGCTGCGAGCGGTGACGGAGGATGCTAAGAACCGTTCCCAGTCACAATCGTCTAACGACACGACAGGTTTTGGGTGGAGCTGGAGGGACGTAGACATGAGTGACAGACATAGTGTGAACTCTTCTAAGGATGACTCGTCTGTGTACTCTGTCGACCAAGATGGTTATTACACGTCTTTCCATCTTGATTCAGGTCTCAAGACATTTGAATCAAGCCTCGATTCAGCCCACCCAAGTTCTAGAGTGAAGCGCCAGCTTACATATGATGGGAGTGGATTCACCGAAGGCATGTATGATGAAATGATGGCTGGTTATACAACCTCCAATAGGAGTTCATATCACGATGGGTACAACACCCTCCCCAATAGGGCTTCATACTTCAGCACCGAAACTGTGATTCACATACCGACGGAATCAAAGTCGTGCACAAGCACTTTGGATCGTAAAAAGAAAACGCCTCCACCTCCACCAAAGAGAACTGTTACCCTGCAGAGGTCTCTGTCTTTCACACCACAATCCAAGTCCAGCCCTGATCTAAGTGGGATATCCAAACTCGACAGCGGTCGTGGTACCCCATCTAGATCAAGAACCAGCAGTCAGGGAAGCAGAGGCAGTGGCAGCAGTAAGGGAGATCTCCGTGGAAAGCCAAACAGACCCCCTCCCCTCCTCCCAACATTAAAGCTGCTGTAACAGAATTTTGGCAAAAGAAGAACGAAAAAGTAAACGGTGACACACATGTAGAAAACGAGAGAAGAAGAAGTACATGTAGCGAAAGCAGCGGCAGTGCCAAAAGCTCTGAGGGCAAGGATGAGGGAGCTGGCTCTTCCTCAGTTGTAGAAAAGGGCGGCATCAAACCCTCCGCCTCAGAACCAAAAGACATCAAGTCGGCCATTCAGAGCTTCTGGAAGAAGAAGAGGGAGAGAAACAAGACAGTTGGGGGAAGAGTCAGTTCTAACGGAGAAGGCGTTACCTTCGGTAAGGGCGAGAACTCGTCAAATAGCCCGTTGGTTAACGGCAGAAAGGAGGAGACAGCTACAACAGGGAGGGAGAGTTTGGGCAGCGTTAGCACGGAGGAGAGGTCATTCCCAAGACCCTTTGGTACGTCTGATCAAAAGCGGCACGTGAACATGTATTCGCTGTGCCAGATTACGCCGAGTCAGAGCGAGGCGAGCAGTGTTAATGGTGAGGACTCTCCTGTGTTCATGAGGAGTAGGTCGCACACTCCTCTATTTGGTTCCATGAGCAGCAGGAGTCGAGCGTCATCCAGATCAGAAGCTGAGATCAGCGAAGACGACAGCCTCTCGATGGACAGGACGACCTCTTTTAGGACTTTTAGTATTGACATTGGCGAAGAGGCACAAACGGTTCCGCCATCCCAGAGCTACACAACGTTTGCCAGTAACGTCTCTGACATGCGTCAGTCATTCACATTCCACGATTTCCAAGCTGGTAACAGAAGCAATACTGAAGAGCAAAGGCCACCGGTTGAACCGGTAGGAGAGAAATCCATCACGCAGCCTAGCCCACCTAGACCGTCAGCTCTACCAGTTGCAGCTGCCCACCCCAACCAGCAAACAGCCCAAGAGCAGAATGAACAAAGATTACCAGTTTCACAGAGTGGTGTAGCAAAGGCGGCCGTGGAAACGACAACACAAAGTAAAGGACATGTACACATCACTGTCGACAACACACCACATGCTACAGTACACAACGGTACCATCCTCAATGTACCCTACCCAAGTAGCAAGCACTACGCTTCAGTGCCAATGAAACCTGCCCCATCCGTGCCTCAGTCTACTCCGCAGTCCACCGTGATGGAAACAGACCTGGATGCCGTGCTTCTTCCACCGAAAGTGTCACGTGTCATAACCAGCCCGATTGTCACTGTTCCTCCACAAACAATAACATCCACAGTTGTGCCCGACCTACGCAGGCCACCACCCGTTGCCACCAAGCCACTGGCTGCAGCAATACCTCCCTCAGGACTGAGCAACTTAGCAGTGGAAAGGCCAGCTAGACCAAGGAGCTTTCCAGAAAGTGCCGTCTCTGGCCAACTTTCTGTTGATACTAAACAGGGAACACCAACGAAGAAACCTCCACCCGTCTCCCCCAAACCAAAGGGACCAATGTTTCAGAAGCCACCAACTGCACCCAAGCCATCGCCCAAGAGGGACGTCCGACCAAAGAGTCTCATGATCGACACCAGACCAAAACCTCAGACCGTCGCCACCCCTTCTGCAGATGTGAGACCAAAAACACCCACAAGTGCTACGTTTAGAACACCAACACCAACAACGCCCCTTGAGAACAAGAGCCCCACTGCAAAGGTACTCCTAGAGTCTGGCCCTCCACCCAGATCACCCAATACCGTTGTGGAAAACAGGAGCCCAACAACGAAAAGCTTACGTGGATCTGACTTTCATGGAAACCCCCGTGTTAAACGGAGACCACCCTTCTGCTGTGAGAAATAGTGGGACCTTACATAGGATGGCTGACAATAGGGGTCCAGACGAAGTGGCAGCCAAAAGCCCGACGATAAAGACAACAGACGACCTGTTTGCTATGATTCATCAGGCTAAGAAAAGGTTGACAATTCATGTGGACCCAGAGGACGGAGGTCGGAGGGCGAGGTCAGCGTCACCAGCTCCGAGGGCAGTTAACAGGACCGAAACGAGGAAGCCAAGCACACCTGCGGCATCAGAACCAACACCAAGACCGAAGTCTCGGCTTGGTCCAAAGAACTCCACGAGCAGGGAAGACTTTAAGGCTCTCCTGCTGAAAAATGGAATGAGGCTGGACCCGTCATCGAGGATGTCTGCTGCGGAGAAGCTGAGGAAGAACCCCATCCTCACACGACAACGTTCACCGGACGACGCCTCCTCCACGTGTAGCAGCGTAGATGATCTCACCGATGACTACGAAGCAGAGAGAGGCGGGATGGCGACCATGAAGGACCTGAAGTCAGTGATGTCAAACACTCGCAGCCATTCGAGGACAAGCGACTTAGGTCTGTTCAGCAACGCCGACCTACTCAGCCCAACTGGGACGGTGAAGAGAAACCCTAAAGCTTCTTCTACCCCAAAGAGTCCTTCTTATGCCATGGTCACTCGGTACACGGTGGGAAGGAGTCGAACACCGAGCGAGCCCATGCACGCAATATCAGAGGCACCTGACGAAGTCGGTTCCCCGGAATACAAGACGAGATCGAAATCGTTCTCGGGACTGATTGATTCGGAATCTCCCCGTGGGAGACTGATGGAGTCGATACGCAGTGTCGG